CACTATACAGCATTGATGCGTTCATTACTCGCACTATACAATATACAGCATTGATGCGTTCATTACTCGCACTATACAATATACAGCACTGATGCGTTCATTACTCGCACTATGCAGCATATGTTAACTATCGGGCCAAAAAATAAGATTCACCCATGTTTAATGGTGGCTTAAAATGAAACAACCAAGAACGTATTTTTCGATGGTGATGTATTTGATACATATCATAGTTGTGTTTTGGACCAGAAGTTCGCATTGTTTTCAGCCTAGCGTGGTTTTGATAACGTTTGTGATGTTTTGGTCAATTCCAATTTTCAAGTGTATACATTCTTTTGCCGACAGTTCAATACCTCGCATGTAAACAACACCATTCCTAGGCAGTCAGAGGAATAGGGTTGATTAGGTGCTATTTGCTTGCGTTATCGCGTTCCTGGTAAATATAATAATCGATAAATGAGATTGGATTGACAATTTTCACCAACACGCCAATATCGATATTTCCTTTCACCCAAAGAATCTAACAATATTTTGAATAATTTACATTATTAAATATTATTATTCATTCTAATATCGACCATTCACTGCACGTTTAGCGAACGCACTGTTGCGAATACCTTCATAGTTGCTTTAAAGGATAACAAGTGCGTTAGGTATTCTTGATCTCTTCGCAGAAACTTTCAATAACGAGTGACGCATCACACAAGTCCTCAGAGGTACAGGTAATGTGATTAAACTGGTTACGGCACACTCACTTCAAACATGTAAACGCCCTGTGTTTGTGTTACAGGCTTTCCCTTTTTGAAGAAAAAAACCCAATGAATAACATGTACATAAATACTTCGATGATGTGGAAAACCGAATTTCATGGTAACACGTGTGAAAGAAAATCCCTTCCGGTTCGCCACACACCATTAGGTCCTTCTCTTGGTTTTCCCGTGGGGACTTTAATGGTTCCTTTATTCTATTGATAGACTGCCAGTCTTAATTATTAAATATAATGTCGGCTTTGAACGCTAAAGATGTATAAGTTATTAAACAGAATATTGATCACGTGACATTGACGTCATTGGCGTGACATACTTAACCATCCTTAGCGGATTACGTTTTCTCGACGTCAAGGTATTGTTACATCGTGTGAAACTGACGTTATACTCTCCAAGCATTTGTTAACAGAAAATGAAATTGGAAATTGGAATGAGTTTTGTAAGGTTTCAGCATGATGCCTGGTTGATTATATAACGGCAGTAATAGCAAGTTTGACATCAATCAAATCATACCGGGTACTGCTGGGGAATAGAGGCATGCTTGAAACAAAGGTTACTTGCCTAAGGATGAACAGGTTTGTCGCCATTCGTGTCCAACTCGTCCCGTTACGGAAACATGCGAGTGGTGACGAATGGTTTGTCGCAAGACATTAAAGTAATTTTAATACAATTAACATATAATTATTTCTAAACCATTTTAAAGAAGCTGTGTTGAAACAAATTCACTCCTTCTGTCCCTCACAAAATATCCGCCACGGGTCTAAAGGTATGCTATCCTGGATTATAAAAGTTTCCAACAAGGTTTATTGGCTTATTTTGCAATATCCGCGTCATTTGCGTGTAGTCGATCCTATCCTGACTTTGTAGAATACTCAGTTATTATTTATCAATAACAGGGATCAAGCTGAGTGAGTTTGGTTGTCGCCCTAGTAACGTTTTGATGATGTTTGTAATTCTTTTGTTAAATCCAACTTTCAAGTGTATTCTTCCAGTTTAGATGATAATGTCACTGCTAAATTGACTGTAAAGTGACTGATTTATCACATACACTGTAGACTAGTGTTTCAACACAAATACAGTCCTTTTTTTAATTACCGCTTTTTCTGAAAAAAATGATACCAATAAGTTGAGATTTCTGAAAATACATACTGCCTGAAACATGGAGAAACAAATCTGGCAGATATTTCTGCAAAAAAGCCTTTTCTAGTTATAGGCAAATTGTCATGAGTACACATTGAGACATGAATCAGATCAATTCATTCCATCCAGGGCTTTCCAATGATAGAGAGTTTGTTCTTGTAGCTCGTTTCTTTCTCTGTGGGGGCGGTCGGGTAGCCTAGTGGTTAAAGCGTTCGCTCGTCACGCCAAAGACCCGGGTTCGATTCCCGACATGGGTACAATGTGTGAAGCCAATTTCTGGTGTCCCCAGCCGTGATATTGCTGGAATATTGCTAAAAGCGGCGTAAAACCATACTCACTCACTCACTCTTTCTCTGTGGCCGGGCAGCTGGCCAGCCTGTTGTAGAGGGGGCCTTGATGTGGGCTTCTGGGACACCGAAGGAAGGACGAGGCTCTCCGCACGGGGGCGACCATCTGACGGTACTGTAGCGTGATGCCACTACCATATATGCGTGTCACACTATGTGACGTGGCTATAACGAGTTAGAATTGGTCCCAGAGGAGGACTAAGAGGCGACCAAATGGATCGGGTGGTTAGGCTCGGTGCCTTACTTGATATACTTACATCGTACCCTGAGGCGCTGATAGTTGCTCACAATATCAATCAGTGGATTGTCTGGTCCAGACTCGATTTTTTACAGGGTGGCTGTTGTAATGTGGCTTGGATCCTGCCGAGTGTGGTGTTGAACAAAAAAAATAAATAAATAAAAGTACAGTAAACTACGGTTATAACGAACACGCTTATAACGAACTAACGGATATAACGAACTAACTTTTCAGTCCCGACTACTTGCTGTAGTTATACTGTATATATGCTTATAACGAATTACGGTTATAACGAACTAAAATTAGTAGTCCCTTTGAGTTCCTTATAACCGTAGTTTACTGTATCGAGATGTCGGGCTCGGTGACTTGGTTGATTGCGTGTCATCTTACCCCGACTGAGTGGGTCGTTGTTCATAATATCAATCATTGGGTTATCCCATACTTTTTTTCTTTTTTTTTTTAAATGTTTATTCTGTCATATACACAGGATACATAAGCACTCGGAAAGCAATACAGCTTTATGAATACAGGTACTTCTCAAAAGGATATGGTACAGAGGAGGCCTAAGGGTTATCCCATACTTGTAAGAGCCGACACATGAGGATCGGGTCCTTATGATGCGCAAACCTGTCGATGTTTCATCGTTTGTGGACGGTGTTGATCGTTGGTCATAAGTAGATATAATATTGTTTTTGTTTCTCCAAATCAAATCAATCCGTTCGAGCCTAAGACTACAGCATTGACATTCGCGGAGCTGGTACACGGAGAATGGCAGACGCAGCGTGGTGTCGACTTGTCGTCTGCCCACACGGCTACAGAACGAGGTTTCCATGGTGACCTTACTCTGCACGTGAAGCGTGGACCGCTTTTGTTTTTTGGTTGATTGAAATCAGTATCGAGTTGTCATATACTGTGATAATGATGATAGCGTGTCAGTTTAGTCCATAGTCGTGGATCGTTGCTCATCCTATCAGTCACCGGTTTGAATTTGGCGAGAATGTTATAGTGAAAAAGTGAGATTTTACGCGGAAAAGTAGTAAGTGAGTGAGTATGGTTTAACGCCGCTTTTAGCAATATTCCAGCGTTGTCACAGCGAGGTGCTCAAGGACTGGGCTTAACACATTGTAACCATTTGGAGAAACGAACCTGTCTTCGGTTTGACGAACGCTTTAACAGCTGGGCTACCCTTAGGATGGTCCAGACGTGAATTCATGCAATTTGTATAACCTAAGAACGGACCAGAAAAACCAGTCAAGAAAACATATTTCAGAACAAGATTATTTTTTATGTTTTACAGTGTCTCTTAATGTTTTTAGGCACCGATGATGTAATTTTAGATCCAATAATAGACAAACCAACGACCGGGTAGATCCTCAGTGCCTATTCAATTCCGGATAGATTCGTATTCCAAAAAGATAGGGCATTTGTACCCGTAGGATTTCGGGTAGAATGGTTTTCAGAACACGTGGGATTCCAGGTAGGTCTTCCGTCATTGGTACAGAGTATCAGAATCCTACTTTTTGATGCCCCTGCCGTGATGTTGCTGGAATACGACGTAGTATTCAACTATTCACTCGCTCACACAGTATTTTCAATAACCGTGAGATTCCAGGTACTAGGTATTAGTAGAAGTCCATTTGTATAGCTCTTTATCATGCTGAATATCACGCTCAAAGTGCATTATTACCCCCGGTCAATAAAACAGTGTGCACTCGACAAATATTCTCAGCTCCCTTGGGAGTATACAACCCAAGCTGCCTGCGTGATTGCGATCTCATCCTACCGGGTACCCATTCACTGCGGGATGAACATAGTCACATTTCGTCAGTGATGAATAATGTTTTTAGTACCTATGATATTTCGGGCAAAGGGTCCTGTATTACCAATGTTCAATCAATCAATTTTTTCAGTACGTTGCATAATAATTACCCATGAGATCCCATGTTGATTGACCACAACTACCAAGAGATTCAATGAAAACAAGGAATTTAAGTCAAGTCATCAAGTGAAACGCTGTAACGCTGTAACGCCGGCTATATGATATTGGCGATCGATTCTACCCACGGATGTGAGGTGAGGTGAAATGGGGTTTAACGTCGCGTCCAAGATTATTGCACTTATATGGCGACGTGCATGCACGTGTGTGTGTGTGTGTGTGTGTGTGTGTGTGTGTGTGTGTGTGTGTGTGTGTGTGTGTGTGTGTGTGTGTGTGTGTGTGTGTCCGGAGAGATGCCAATTTATAGTGCTAGCACACTGAGATACCATGCCGCAATAATAAACTGACTGACTCCGAGCCGACTAATCTTTGTTTTAGCCCCTTAATGCCAAGCGCCAGACAGGGTAACAACAAGTACCATCCTTTAACGTCTTTTGGTAAGACGCGGCCGGGGATCTCCGGGCGGACGCTCTACCACTAGACCACGGAGGCGGTCTCCACCTACGGAAGGCTCTGTGCGAGTTGGGTGACGGATTAACGCCTGTTTGCGGTGTTTCAAATGATTCGCACAACAGTTTGGATGATCACATATTTATTCGCATATACACATTATTCTGTGGGCTGATAATAGTTGTGAACGTTCATACGTCATTGGAGATCTGAAAACATGCAGAACATTTGAACATTACTAAACGAGTAAGAAAGGAACATCTGGTGGACATACATGTTAGTGATACCGAATGCAACAGCAGTATTAGCTGGAAGCGCCCTTAAAATGCAAATTTCCGTGCCTTGGACGACGGCGTCATATCATTAAAACATTAGAATATATCTCGATGGTTGACACAAATAAAAACAAATTTAAATAAAGCTTCCAGTACCGCCACGATTAAAATCGAGTCGGAACATGTTGATGATGTTTATTCACGCCATTGTTTGAGCTTAGTGATTACGAAGATGCTGAACAAGCAGGTGAGCTAAGAATAAGTTTTCATGTATGTCGAAAATACATGTGAGTTAAGAATCGGGTTCATGTATGTCGAAAATACAGGTGAGTTAAGAATCGGGTTCATGTAATGTCAAAAATACAGGTGAGTTAACTGTCGGGGTTCATGTAATGTCAGAAATACAGGTGAGTTAAGAATCGGGTTTCATGTATGCCGAAAATACAGGTGAGTTAACCGTCGGGGTTTATGTAATGTCAAAAATACAGGTGAGTTAAGAATCGGGTTTCATGTATGCCGAAAATACAGGTGAGTTAACAGCCGGGTTTCATTTAATGTCAAAAATACAGGTGAGTTAAGAATCGGGTTTCATGTAATGTCAAAAATACAGGTGAGTTAAGAATCGGGATACATGTTATGTCAAAAATACAGGTGAGTTAAGAATCGGCTTTCATGTATGTCGAAAATACAGGTGAGTTAAGAATCGGGTTTCATATGATGTCAAAAATACAGTTGAATTAAGAATCGGGTTTCATGTATGTCAAAAATACAGGTGAGTAAAGAATCGGGTTTCATCTTTGTCAAAAATACAGGTGAGTTAACAGTCGGGTTTCATATATGTCAAAAATACAGGTAAGCTAATAATGGGTTATGTTGCCATTGACTTTGACGACACCTACTCAGTAATTGAGTTGCAGGAGGTTCTGGAGTTGTTGGAGCGCCTGTTGCACCAGCTGCAGCTTGTCCTGAGAGGAGATAGACTTGCTGAGGGCCAGCTGGAGATTGGTGTACACTTCGCTCAAGCTAACACTCGGGGAATCTGAAAACGGAGTTGATCTGTGAGTGAGTGAGTTGGGTTTAACGCCGCTTTTAACAGTATTCCAGTTATATCACGGCGTGTCAGATTAATGTTGGAGGAAAACCCGAAGTGATGCAGGTCTCAGACGTTTACCACTTCGGTGAAACCTACGAGCACGGGTCTGGTGCTGACAAATCCAGATACATTATCGGGGCGAACCGAGTTTCGAACACACCATCATAGGTTTCTGGTTCCATGAATGCAACTCCGCGCAAGGGATTAGAGTGCCTTAGACGACTGGGCCATACGCGCTCCCCGTTTATCAGTGAGTGATATGTGATGTCACACAGGCTAAAGCAGTGAGTTTAGCATGCCATCACACGGGCTGTGACATTCATTGGTATTAATGTCATACGCAGAATGTTTTTGATTGTTGACGGTTCAGAAAATACATTTTTTCTGAAGGGAGAAGCCAAACTTCTCCAATAGGTTAAGAATAACTGTAATCTAAATTTACCTGCACAACGAACCTGCACTAGTCTTTTTCTTGCCTTATTAATATTATAATTTCGGGATTGGATTGTTCAATACACCTGGAGGAAAACTATTTATCAATATCACGGAGGCGACATCAGAAACCGGCTTCACACATTGCATCAATATTGGGATTCGAACCCGGGCTTTTGGCGTGACAAGCGAATGCTTTAACCACTTGGCTACCCATCCGTCTCAACTTTGACAGTTGTCCGATACTTACCTGAATAGAGTGAGTGAGTTGGGTTTAACGCCGCTTTTAACAGTATTCTAGTTATATCACGGCGTGTCAGCTTAATGTGGGAGGAAAGCCCCAAAAGATGCAGTTCTCAGACGTTTACCACTTCGGTGAAACCCACGAGCACGGGTATGGTGCTGACAAATCTAGAAACATAATCGGGGCGAACCGGGATTCGAACCCACAATCATAGGTTTCTGGCGTGCCCAAGGGACGCAACTCTGCACAGCGAATCGCGGCGCCTTAGACGACTGGGCCACCCTACATTTAGAAACCCTTTGATACCCTGTATTCACCAACTCAGTCAAACGTTCAAGATTTTAAAGAATTATTATGTAACCCACCAGATGAGGAGTTTGTGCCTGTGTTTGAAGAATCTGAAATGAAACCAAACTTTAACGAGTTTTTTGGAAAAGGAAGAATGGTGTTTTTAAGTCTACACTCTTCCGCTATGTATCACTATGTTGCCGTATTTTATCTTCGTAAAATCAGGCATGTCATTTAGTCACAGAAACATAAAAAATGTATGGGTGAGTGAATATTATTTTCCGCCCCAGTCAGCAATAGTATGGTGGCCTGTAAATACACGAGAACAATACCACCCGGAGGGATGTGCAACGCCTGTCAATAGCACGCGGGTGTACGTACACTGACAATAACACCCGGATGTACTTACACTGACAATAAAACCCCGATGTGTAACGCCTGTCAATAGCACGCGGATGTACTTACATGGGCAATAAAACCCGGATGTACTTACACAGATACCATGGGATGAACTTACACTGACAATAACTCCCGGATGTACTTACACTGACAATAAAACCCGGATGTGCAACGCCTGTCAATAGCACGCGGATGTACTTACATGGACAATAAAACCCGGATGTACTTACACAGATACCATGGGATGAACTTACACTGACAATAACACCCGGATGTACTTACACTGACAATAAAACCCGGATGTGCAACGCCTGTCAATAGCACGCGGATGTACTTACATGGACAATAAAACCCGGATGTACTTACACAGATACCATGGGATGAACTTACACTGACAATAACTCCCGGATGTACTTACACTGACAATAAAACCCGGATGTGCAACGCCTGTCAATAGCACGCGGATGTACTTACATGGACAATAAAACCCGGATGTACTTACACAGATACCATGGGATGAACTTACACTGACAATAACACCCGGATGTACTTACACTGACAATAAAACCCGGATGTGCAACGCCTGTCAATAGCACGCGGATGTACTTACATGGACAATAAAACCCGGATGTACTTACACAGATACCATGGGATGAACTTACACTGACAATAACTCCCGGATGTACTTACACTGACAATAAAACCCGGATGTGCAACGCCTGTCAATAGCACGCGGATGTACGTACACTGACAATAACACTACGATGTACAACGCCTGTCAATAGCACGCGTATGTACGTAAAGTGACAATAACATCCCGATGTACTTACACAGATACCGAGGGATGTACTTACACTGACAGCGTGACCCAGTGGAGCCTAGGTTGCACGTGCAGCCGTAGCTGTTGCCACTGTTGAAACAGTAGCCGCCGTTCAAACAAGGACTGGAGTCACAAGCAGAAAAGTTTCCTGGAATTGATATGGGGATAGATCATCCATGGGGAATCAAGCATAGGGGACTGTATATCTATTCTACACTAGTTAAACCATGAGGAAACAAGCATGGGGTACTGCATGTATAGTCTACACTAGTTAAACCATGAGGAAACAAGCATGGGGTGCTGTATGTATAGCCTACACTAGTTAAACCATGAGAAAACAAGCATGGGGTGCTGTATGTATAGTCTACACTAGTTAAACCATGAGGAAACAAGCATGGGGTGCTGTATGTATAGCCTACACTAGCTAAACCATGAGGAAACAAGCATTGGGTGCTGTATGTATAGTCTACACTAGATACTCAATGAGGAAACAAGCATGGGGTGCTGTATGTATAGCCTACACTAGTTAAACCATGAGGAAACAAGCATGGGGTGCTGTATGTATAGTCTACACTAGTTAAACCATGAGGAAACAGGCATGGGGTACTGCATGTATGGTTTAATTAAACTTATTGAACAGAAAAATAAAACGTCAACAGAGATCAATTAATGAATGAACCACGTGAAACATTTCGATAATCAACCTTCGCTTTTATAATCTACCAACTAGCTGTGTTTTTATTCGTACATACGATCAGCTGACACAAGTGCGGATGCGCGACGGCTTTTCATATCATATTTCGTTGAACAGAGGGTTCCAGAACAGGAAATGCGAGCGTTCTCCTTTGCCACTTTTATCACCTTCACATATCGCCACCACTCCTATCAACTTCACATTGATCGCATGGTACAGTGGACCTATTCTGTCCCGGGTCAACCATTGGAAAATTACAAGCATGGGGTGCTGTAGACGTTTTCTGTACCGGAATCCCTAAGGGCGAAATATACCTTAGGCAATGAGGACCTAATCTGTCCCGCATCAACCACGGGGAAATAAGAACTGGGTATTGGGAAACTATTCTGTCAACCACGGGGAAACAAGAACTGGTTATTGGGAAACTATTCTGTCAACCACGGGGAAACAAGAACTGGGTATTGGGAAACTATTATGTCAACCACGGGGAAATAAGAACTGGGTATTGGGAAACTATTCTGTCATTCACGGGGAAACAAGAACTGGGTATTGGGAAACTATTCTGTCATTCACGGGGAAACAAGAACTGGGTATTGGGAAACTATTCTGTCAACCACGGGGAAACAAGAACTGGGTATTGGGAAACTATTCTGTCAACCACGGGGAAATAAGAACTGGGTATTGGGAAACTATTCTGTCATTCACGGGGAAACAAGAACTGGGTATTGGGAAACTATTCTGTCATTCACGGGGAAACAAGAACTGGGTATTGGGAAACTATTCTGTCAACCACGGGGAAACAAGAACTGGGTATTGGGAAATTATTCTGTCAACCACGGGGAAACAAGAACTGGGTATTGGGAAACTATTCTGTCAACCACGGGGAAACAAGAACTGGGTATTGGGAAACTATTCTGTCAACCACGGGGAAACAAGAACTGGTTATTGGGAAACTATTCTGTCAACCACGGGGAAACAAGAACTGGGTATTGGGAAACTATTATGTCAACCACGGGGAAATAAGAACTGGGTATTGGGAAACTATTCTGTCATTCACGGGGAAACAAGAACTGGGTATTGGGAAACTATTCTGTCATTCACGGGGAAACAAGAACTGGGTATTGGGAAACTATTCTGTCAACCACGGGGAAACAAGAACTGGGTATTGGGAAACTATTCTGTCAACCACGGGGAAATAAGAACTGGGTATTGGGAAACTATTCTGTCATTCACGGGGAAACAAGAACTGGGTATTGGGAAACTATTCTGTCATTCACGGGGAAACAAGAACTGGGTATTGGGAAACTATTCTGTCAACCACGGGGAAACAAGAACTGGGTATTGGGAAATTATTCTGTCAACCACGGGGAAACAAGAACTGGGTATTGGGAAACTATTCTGTCAACCACGGGGAAACAAGAACTGGGTATTGGGAAACTATTCTGTCAACCACGGGGAAACAAGAACTGGGTATTGGGAAACTATTCTGTCAACCACGGGGAAACAAGAACTGGGTATTGGGAAACTATTCTGAGTTCTGTTTGTGTTACCTGTGCTGTTGCCCGACGTGTTGCCGTTGAAATCTGTAAATATAAAAATGTGCATATATTTCATCAAACTTTAATAAATCTGACAAATCATGACTGACAAAGTACATGGAATGTTTCCAGTGTAAAGTGACAATGAATTGTACAAAAAGAACAGCACTGGGTTTTAATAAGGCTGAAGACGAACTAGCCTCATGCCTTCGCCTTCTTAACCCTATTACGAACATAACCATGCTAACACTTTATATTACAAGACAATTTTAACTTCCTGGTACTGACAATAACACCCGGATGTACTTACATTGACAACGTGACCCAGTGAAGCCGGCGTTGCACATGCAGTAGTAGCTGTTGCCACTGTTGTAACAGTAGCCACCGTTCAAACAAGGACTGGAGTCACAAGAAGAAGAGTTTCCTGCAATTGATATGGGGATATTGATGGGTTATTTTTAGGTCATTTCAACAGATTATAGAATACCTACGCTGAGATAAGCATGGGGTATTGGAATCCCATCCTAGGGACATGCAAGGATGGTGTGCTGGAGGATTTCACGAAAGTGTTAAACGTCATCGACTCACATAACTTGAGGATTATTTCTCTTTGGCTTTTGTATTTCATTCTACTCATATATGAGAGTCGACTATATCTAGGTTTGGTGCAACCATTACAATAGATAGGGGTAATATTTGTTTTCCTTCTTCCCATTTTGATACTTATCATGCAAGTCAGTTAATTTGTGATTTCTGTGAATTCTGTGAATTCTGGGGTTCTGTTTTACCTGTGCTGTTGCCCGACGTGTTGCCGTTGAAATCTGTAAATATAAAAAAGTGCATATGTTTCAACAAAAACTTTATCAAATCTGACAAATCATGACTGACAAAGTATATGGAATAATTTCTAGTTATACGTGACAATGAATCGTACAAAAAGAACAGCATTGGGATTTAATAAGGCTGAAGACGAACTAGCCTCATGCCCTCGCCTTCTTAACCCTATTTCGGACATAACCATGCTAACACTTTATATTACAAGACAATTTTAACTTCCTGGTACTGACAATAACATCCGGATGTACTTACATTGACAACGTGACCCAGTGAAGCCGGCGTTGCACATGCAGTAGTAGCTGTTGCCACTGTTGTAACAGTAGCCACCGTTCAAACAAGGACTGGAGTCACAAGAAGAAGAGTTTCCTGCAATTGATATGGGGATATTGATGGGTTATTTTTAGGTCATTTCAACAGATTATAGAATACCTACGCTGAGATAAGCATGGGGTATTGGAATCCCATCCTAGGGACATGCAAGGATGGTGTGCTGGAGGATTTCACGAAAGTGTTAAACGTCATCGATTCACATAACTTGAGGATTATTTTTCTTTGGCTTTTGTATTTCATTCTACTCATATATGAGAGTCGACTATATCTAGGTTTGGTGCAACCATTACAATAGATAGGGGTAATATTTGTTTTCCTTCTTCCCATTTTGATACTTATCATGCAAGTCAGTTAATTTGTGATTTCTGTGAATTCTGTGAATTCTGGGGTTCTGTTTTACCTGTGCTGTTGCCCGACGTGTTGCCGTTGAAATCTGTAAATATAAAAAAGTGCATATGTTTCAACAAAAACTTTATCAAATCTGACAAATCATGACTGACAAAGTATATGGAATAATTTCTAGTTATACGTGACAATGAATCGTACAAAAAGAACAGCATTGGGATTTAATAAGGCTGAAGACGAACTAGCCTCATGCCCTCGCCTTCTTAACCCTATTTCGGACATAACCATGCTAACACTTTATATTACAAGACAATTTTAACTTCCTGGTACTGACAATAACATCCGGCTGTACTTACATTGACAACGTGACCCAGTGAAGCCGGCGTTGCACATGCAGTAGTAGCTGTTGCCACTGTTGTAACAGTAGCCACCGTTCAAACAAGGACTGGAGTCACAAGAAGAAGAGTTTCCTGCAATTGATATGGGGATATTGATGGGTTATTTTTAGGTCATTTCAACAGATTATAGAATACCTACGCTGAGATAAGCATGGGGTATTGGAATCCCATCCTAGGGACATGCAAGGATGGTGTGCTGGAGGATTTCACGAAAGTGTTAAACGTCATCGATTCACATAACTTGAGGATTATTTTTCTTTGGCTTTTGTATTTCATTCTACTCATATATGAGAGTCGACTATATCTAGGTTTGGTGCAACCATTAGAATAGATACGGGTAATATTTGTTTTCCTTCTTCCCATTTTGATACCTATCATGCAAGTCAGTTAATTTGTGATTTCTGTGAATTCTGTGAATTCTGGGGTTCTGTTTTACCTGTGCTGTTGCCCGACGTGTTGCCGTTGAAATCTGTAAATATAAAAAAGTGCATATGTTTCAACAAAAACTTTATCAAATCTGACAAATCATGACTGACAAAGTATATGGAATAATTTCTAGTTATACGTGACAATGAATCGTACAAAAAGAAACAGCATTGGGATTTAATAAGGCTGAAGACGAACTAGCCTCATGCCCTCGCCTTCTTAACCCTATTTCGGACATAACCATGCTAACACTTTATATTACAAGACAATTTTAACTTCCTGGTACTGACAATAACACCCGGATGTACTTACATTGACAACGTGACCCAGTGAAGCCGGCGTTGCACATGCAGTAGTAGCTGTTGCCACTGTTGTAACAGTAGCCACCGTTCAAACAAGGACTGGAGTCACAAGAAGAAGAGTTTCCTGCAATTGATATGGGGATATTGATGGGTTATTTTTAGGTCATTTCAACAGATTATAGAATACCTACGCTGAGATAAGCATGGGGTATTGGAATCCCATCCTAGGGACATGCAAGGATGGTGTGCTGGAGGATTTCACGAAAGTGTTAAACGTCATCGATTCACATAACTTGAGGATTATTTTTCTTTGGCTTTTGTATTTCATTCTACTCATATATGAGAGTCGACTATATCTAGGTTTGGTGCAACCATTAGAATAGATAGGGGTAATATTTGTTTTTCTTCTTCCCATTTTGATACTTATCATGCAAGTCAGTTAATTTGTGATTTCTGTGAATTCTGTGAATTCTGGAGTTCTGTTTGTGTTACCTGTGCTGTTGCCCGACGTGTTGCCGTTGAAATCTGTAAATATAAAAAAAGGGAATATGTTTCAACAAACTTTATTAAATCTGACAAATCATGACTGACAAAGTATATGGAATAATTTCTGTTGACCGACGTGTTGCCGTTGAAATCTGTAAATATAAAAAAGTGCATATGTTTCATCAAACTTTAATAAGTCTGACAAATCGTGACTGACAAAGTACGTGGAATAATTTCTAGTGTAACGTGACAATGAATCGTACAAAAAGAACAGCACTGGGTTTTAATACGGCTGAAGACGAAGTAGCCTCATGCCTTCGCCTTCTTAACCCTATTACGAACATAACCATGCTAACACTTTATATTACAAGACAATTTTAACTTCCTGGTACTGACAATAACATCCGGATGTACTTACACTGACAACGTGACCCACTGTAGCCGACGTTGCACATGCAGCCGTAGCTGTTGCCACTGTTGTAACAGTAGCCACCGTTCAAACAAGGACTGGAGTCACAAGAAGAAGAGTTTCCTGCAATTGATATGGGGATATTGATGGGTTATTTTTAGGTCATTTCAACAGATTATAGAATACCTACGCTGAGATAAGCATGGGGTATTGGAATCCCATCCTAGGGACATGCAAGGATGGTGTGCTGGAGGATTTCACGAAAGTGTTAAACGTCATCGATTCACATAACTTGAGGATTATTTTTCTTTGGCTTTTGTATTTCATTCTACTCATATATGAGAGTCGACTATATCTAGGTTTGGTGCAACCATTAGAATAGATAGGGGTAATATTTGTTTTTCTTCTTCCCATTTTGATACTTATCATGCAAGTCAGTTAATTTGTGATTTCTGTGAATTCTGTGAATTCTGGAGTTCTGTTTGTGTTACCTGTGCTGTTGCCCGACGTGTTGCCGTTGAAATCTGTAAATATAAAAAAGGGAATATGTTTCAACAAACTTTATTAAATCTGACAAATCATGACTGACAAAGTATATGGAATAATTTCTGTTGACCGACGTGTTGCCGTTGAAATCTGTAAATATAAAAAAGTGCATATATTTCATCAAACTTTAATAAGTCTGACAAATCATGACTGACAAAGTACGTGGAATAATTTCTAGTGTAACGTGACAATGAATCGTACAAAAAGAACAGCACTGGGTTTTAATACGACTGAAGACGAAGTAGCCTCATGCCTTCGCCTTCATAACCCTATTACGAACATAACCATGCTAACACTTTATATTACAAGACAATTTTAACTTCCTGGTACTGACAATAACATCCGGATGTACTTACACTGACAACGTGACCCACTGTAGCCGACGTTGCACATGCAGCCGTAGCTGTTGCCACTGTTGTAACAGTAGCCACCGTTCAAACAAGGACTGGAGTCACAAGAAGAAGAGTTTCCTGCAATTGATATGGGGATATTGATGGGTTATTTTTAGGTCATTTCAACAGATTATAGAATACCTACGCTGAGATAAGCATGGGGTATTGGAATCCCATCCTAGGGACATGCAAGGATGGTGTGCTGGAGGATTTCACGAAAGTGTTAAACGTCATCGATTCACATAACTTGAGGATTATTTTTCTTTGGCTTTTGTATTTCATTCTACTCATATATGAGAGTCGACTATATCTAGGTTTGGTGCAACCATTAGAATAGATAGGGGTAATATTTGTTTTTCTTCTTCCCATTTTGATACTTATCATGCAAGTCAGTTAATTTGTGATTTCTGTGAATTCTGTGAATTCTGGAGTTCTGTTTGTGTTACCTGTGCTGTTGCCCGACGTGTTGCCGTTGAAATCTGTAAATATAAAAAAAGGGAATATGTTTCAACAAACTTTATTAAATCTGACAAATCATGACTGACAAAGTATATGGAATAATTTCTGTTGACCGACGTGTTGCCGTTGAAATCTGTAAATATAAAAAAGTGCATATGTTTCATCAAACTTTAATAAGTCTGACAAATCATGACTGACAAAGTACGTGGAATAATTTCTAGTGTAACGTGACAATGAATCGTACAAAAAGAACAGCACTGGGTTTTAATACGACTGAAGACGAAGTAGCCTCATGCCTTCGCCTTCTTAACCCTATTACGAACATAACCATGCTAACACTTTATATTACAAGACAATTTTAACTTCCTGGTACTGACAATAACATCCGGATGTACTTACACTGACAACGTGACCCACTGTAGCCGACGTTGCACATGCAGCCGTAGCTGTTGCCACTGTTGTAACAGTAGCCACCGTTCAAACAAGGACTGGAGTCACAAGAAGAAGAGTTTCCTGCAATTGATATGGGGATATTGATGGGTTATTTTTAGGTCATTTCAACAGATTATAGAATACCTACGCTGAGATAAGCATGGGGTATTGGAATCCCATCCTAGGGACATGCAAGGATGGTGTGCTGGAGGATTTCACGAAAGTGTTAAACGTCATCGATTCACATAACTTGAGGATTATTTTTCTTTGGCTTTTGTATTTCATTCTACTCATATATGAGAGTCGACTATATCTAGGTTTGGTGCAACCATTAGAATAGATAGGGGTAATATTTGTTTTTCTTCTTCCCATTTTGATACTTATCATGCAAGTCAGTTAATTTGTGATTTCTGTGAATTCTGTGAATTCTGGAGTTCTGTTTGTGTTACCTGTGCTGTTGCCCGACGTGTTGCCGTTGAAATCTGTAAATATAAAAAAAGGGAATATGTTTCAACAAACTTTATTAAATCTGACAAATCATGACTGACAAAGTATATGGAATATTTTTTGTTGACCGACGTGTTGCCGTTGAAATCTGTAAATATAAAAAAGTGCATATGTTTCATCAAACTTTAATAAGTCTGACAAATCATGACTGACAAAGTACGTGGAATAATTTCTAGTGTAACGTGACAATGAATCGTACAAAAAGAACAGCACTGGGTTTTAATACGACTGAAGACGAAGTAGCCTCATGCCTTCGCCTTCTTAACCCTATTACGAACTTAACCATGCTAACACTTTATATTACAAGACAATTTTGACTTCCTGGTACTGACAATAACATCCGGATGTACTTACACTGACAACGTGACCCACTGTAGCCGGCGTTGCACATGCAGCCGTAGCTGTTGCCACTGTTGTAACAGTAGCCGCCGTTCAAACAAGGACTGGAGTCACAAGAAGAAGAGTTTCCTGCAATTGATATGGAGATATTGATGGGTTATTTTTAGGTCATTTCAATAGATTATAGAATAGCTAAGTTGAGATAAACATGGGATATTGAGGGTCAAATCTCCCCCGAAATGAACCGTAGGGAAACAGGCACATTGTATTGAAGACATAGTCTGCACTAGGTCAACATGGGGACACAAGCATGGGGGTAATATGGACATAGTCTGCACTAGGTCTACATGGGGACACAAGCATGGGGGTGATATGGACATAGTCTGCACTAGGTCATCACTGGGGAACAAGCATCGGGGTATTATGGACAAAGTCTGCACTCGGTCAACATGTGGACACAGGCATTGGGCAAATATGGACATAGTCTGCACCAGATCAACATGGGGACACAAGCATTGGGGTAATATGGACATAGTCTGCACCAGATCAACATGGGGACACAAGCATTGGGGTAATATGGACATGGTCTGCACTCGGTCTACACGGGGAAACAAGCATGGGGGTAATATGGACATAGTCTGCACCACATCAACATGGGGACACAAGCATTGGGGTAATATGGACATGGTCTGCACTCGGTCAACATGGGGAAACAAGCATGGGGGTAATATGGACATTGTCTGCACCACATCAACATGGGGACACAAGCATTGGGGTAATATGGACATGGTCTGCACTCGGTCTACACGGGGAAACAAGCATGGGGGTAATATGGACATAGTCTGCACCAGATCAACATGGGGACACAAGCATTGGGGTAATATGGACATGGTCTGCACTCGGTCTACACGGGGAAACAAGCATGGGGGTAATATGGACATAGTCTGCACCAGATCAACATGGGGACACAAGCATTGGGGTAATATGGACATGGTCTGCACTCGGTCTACACGGGGAAACAAGCATGGGGGTAATATGGACATAGTCTGCACCAGATCAACATGGGGACACAAGCATTGGGGTAATATGGACATATTCTGCACTCGGTCAACACGGGGACACAGGCATGGGGCAAATATGGACATAGTCTGCACCAGATCAACATGGGGACACAAGCAAGGGGGTAATATGGACATAGCCTGCACCAGATCAACATGGGGACACAAGCAGGGGGGTAATATGGACATAGTCTGCACTAGGTGAACATGGGGACACAAGCATGGGGGTAATATGGACATAGTCTGCACCAGATCAACATGGGGACACAAGCATCGGGGTAATATGGACATATTCTGCACTAGGTCAACATGGGGAAACAAGCATTGGGGTAATATGGACATAGTCTGCACTCGGTCAACATGTGGACACGGGCATGGGGCAAATATAGACATAGTCTGCACCAGATCAACATGGGGACACAAGCAAGGGGGTAATATGGACATATTCTGCACTAGGTCAACATGGGGACACAAGCATCGGGGTAATATTGACATATTCTGCACTAGGTCAAATAGGGGAAACAAGCATTGGGGTAATATGGACATAGTCTGCACTAGGTCAACATGTGGACACGGGCATGGGGCAAATATGGACATAGTCTGCACCAGATCAACATGGGGACACAAGCAAGGGGGTAATATGGACATATTCTGCACTAGGTCAACATGGGGACACAAGCATGGGGGTAATATGGACATAGTCTGCACTCGGTCAACATGGGGACACAAGCATCGGGGTAATATTGACATATTCTGCACTAGGTCAAATAGGGAAACAAAAATGGGGTATTGTAGATCTATCCTGCACTCGATCATCCATGAAGAAACAGGCGTGGGGGTATTGTAGGTCCATTCTACACAAGATCAACACAGGAAACAAGCGTGGGGGTAATGCCCACATTTTCAGCTTTAGATCATGCATCGGGAAACAAGTTTTGAGTGGTGTCGACCTTGCCAGTAATTGACCAACCATGGGAAACAAACATAACTGAAGCTTTTTTCTGCACTGGACCAACACGGAGAAACAAAAATGGGATATTGCAGATCTTTTCTGCACTTGTTCACTCAAGGGGAAACAAGAAAGGGGTACTGTGGACCTAATCTGTGCCGACATTCCATCCTGGGGACATGCAAGGATGGTGTACTTGAGGATTTCACGAAAGAGTTAAACGTCATCGATTTACATAACTAAAGGAATGTTTCTCTTTGGCTTTTGTATTTAATTCTACTCGTGTATGAGTGTCGACTATATCTAGTGTTGGTGCAACCATTAAAATAGATACGGTTACTATTTTTTTGCTTCTTCCCATTTTGATACCTATCATGCAGGTCAGTTAATTTGTCTTTTCTGTGAATTCTGAAGCTGTGTTTGTGTTACCTGTGCTGTTGCCCGACGTGTTGCCGTTGAAATCTGTAAATATAAAAAAGTTGATATGTTTCATCAAACATTATTACGTCTGACATATCATGACTGACAAAGTACATGGAATAATTTATAGTAGACAGTGAAAATGACTCCTACAAAAAGAACAGCATTGGCTTTCAATGAGACTGAAGACGAACTAGCCTCATGCCTTCGCCTTCTTTACACTATCATGGGCATAACCATGCTAACACTTTATATAATACAAGAATACTTTAACTTCCTGGTACTGACAATAACACCCGGATGCACTTACACTGACAACGTGACCCACTGTAGCCGGCGTTGCACGTGCAGCCGTAGCTGTTGCCACTGTTGTAACAGTAGCCACCGTTCAAACAAGGACTGGACTCACAAGAAGAAGAGTTTCCTGCAATTGATATGGGGATATTGATGGGTTACTAGTATATCTAGGCCATTTCAATAGATTATAGAATAGCTACGATGAGATAAGCATGGGGTACTGGGGGTCTAATCTGCCCGAGATCAACACTGGGGACACAAGCATGGGGAAATATGGACATATTCTGCATTCGATTGTCCATCGGGGAACAAGCATAGGGTAATGTGGACCTATTCGGCACTTGACTAACCAAGGGGAAACAAGTGTTTGACATTGTAGATCTTTTGTGCACTAGATCAAAACGGGGGGAACATGGGTGAAGAACCTTTTCCTGGATTTGATATGGGATACTGATGGATAATTTTCAGATAACAAGCTGATGATCTGATGACAAATATCATGGGAAAGGAGGCCGCGATTAGCTTCAAAATTAACTGACGTAATATTCACTCACTCACTCAAGTGCAACGTCAATCATTTGTGTTACGTTGACATTGCCTTATTATTGATAGCTCTGTGGTGTTTTTTTGTCGCACATGCGCCAAGACACGCGGTGTAGCTGTATGGGAAGTCATGGGTGCCGTTGTACAAAGCGATATTAAAGCACTAAGGTGATCGTAACGCCCATACCTTAACAGTTGTAGCACTGAGGTTGTTGGCTACAACGACACCCATGTCATCAGAAACCTACCTCATGCTTGTGGAGAGAGTCGACTTAAATGGGGATTGGGTGACGAATGGGGATTTGGTGGTCAGTAGGGTTTGGGTGGTCAATGGTGATTGGGTGGCCAATGGGAATTGGGTGGTCAGTTGGGATTGGGTGGTCAGTTGGGATTGGGTGGTCAGTGGGGATTGGGTGGTCAGTGGGGATTGGGTGGTCAGTGGGGATTGGATGGTCAGTTGGGGTTGGGCGGTCAGTGGGGATTGGGTGGTCAGTGGGGATTGGATGGTCAGTGGGGATTGGGTGGTCAGTGGGGATTGGGTGGTCAGTGGGGATTGGGTGGTCAGTGGGATTGGGTGGTCAGTGGGGATTGGGTGGTCAGTGGGGATTGGATGGTCAGTGGGGGTTGGGTGGTCAGTGGGATTGGGTGGTCAGTGGGGGTTGGGTGGTCAGTGGGGATTGGGTGGTCAGTGGCGGTTGGGTGGTCAGTGGGATTGGGTGGTCAGTGGGGGTTAGGTGGTCAGTGGGGATTGGGTGATCAGTGGGGATTGGGTGAGCAGTGGGATTGGGTGGTCAGTGGGGTTGGGTGGTCAGTGGGGTTGGGTGGTCAGTGGGGATTGGGTGGTCAGTGGGGATTGGGTGGTCAGTGGGGGTTGGGTGGTCAGTGGGATTGGGTGGTCAGTGGGGGTTGGGTGGTCAGTGGGATTGGGTGGTCAGTGGGGGTTGGGTGGTCAGTGGGATTGGGTGGTCAGTGGGGAGTTGGTGGTCAATGGGGAGTTGGTGGTCAGTGGGCATTGGGTGGTCTTTGGGGATTGGGTGGTCAGTGGGGATTGGTAGGTCAATGACGATTGGGTGGTGAAGACTTGGATGATTGTATGACATTGTTCCCAAGCGTAGGATGTTGTTGCTGTGTGTGACGTTTTACAAACAAACAAAGAGATAGAGCATGAGGACATGCACGAGGTGGATCTAGGTTTGAGACAGTCGACTGTTGCAGAAGGTGATGGGAATGCCTACGATAGCACCTGCGTGGTTCGAACACAGAACGTCAACAGCCAGTCACGAGTCAATAGGGCGTAAACGGTAAATCAGGGCGAAAACTATACGAATGGATCACTGAAAATTAGTAATGACACCAGGTGTTCGCGAAACACATCAATTGACAATGGCATGGCCCATACCCCTTAAGAACCTAATGACGCAACATATTATTCATTGATCAAGCTTTCTTCGGTTCGATATAAACTATTTCTTCTCTAAGTGAGTGAATGAGTGGAGTTTAACACTGATTTTTACGACGTCTTAAGATTCTACACTTACCTGTGCTGTTACCACCCATGTTGCTGTATGAATCTGGAGAGAACAAACAAAAGGCGTTTACTCGTTTGGTTTGCAGGTCTTCAGACCATCATGCGCGGTATAATAGGGGTCTTGTTTGACCAATGCATCTGCATAATTTAAATTATTAGGAAAACGTCTGAGCATTTTTTTAAAGATAATAAGATTTTGTTCAAAACGTGCATGCTTTCTACTGACACCATAAGATGTAAAGGTAAGACTGACATATGTAAGTGAGGTGAGGTGAAATGGGGTTTTACGTCGCGTCCAAGATTATTGCACTGATAAAGCGACGTGCATGCACGTGTGTGTGTGGCTGCTTGTACTAATCCGGACTGATGCCGATTTATATCGCTAGCGCACTGAGATACCATGCCGCAGTTTAACATGAATACCCCACTCAGTCACAGTATACTGACTCTGGGCCGACCAGTCCTTGTTTAAGGCCCCTTAATGCCGAGCGCCAGACAGGGAAACAACAAGTACCATCGTTTAACGTCTTTTGGTATGACGCGGCCTGGGATCGAACCCCAGAAGTTCCGCTATCCGGGTTCGAACCCCAGATCTTCCGCTCTCCGGGCGGACGCTCTGCCACTAGACCACGGAGGCGGTCGACATATGTAAGTAACTGATTGCAGAGGTTTCGGGAGGCGTTCATCAATACACGAACATGAGCAAGTCTCCGGTCAGATGACGTAGGAGCACAAACATCTCGTAAGATGTTCACGGTTAGATTTTCTGGTGAAAGTCGAAAATCGACATTTTTACTAAATTTTAGCCTTACTTGTATGGAAGCACTTAAGTGCCATAAGCTAGGAAAATATATATCATCTACATGAGGGATACTTTCAAAGTATATTCTGCGTAGATGTGCGTAGATGCGTAGATGTGAGTAGTACCACTACGATGTAAGTATGGTCTTCGTAGATTTAAGTACCATCTACTGTAAGTATGATCTACGGAGATGTAAGCATGATCTACGTAGATGATATGTTATCTTAGGATGTGGCATTAATATGTACAAGATAAAGAAAGTAGTTTATGCCGTTATTGTAATGAAGGCTATGTTGAGGATGAGTTTCATGTACTTCTCATTTGTAAATATTATCAGTTTCTTGGAAATAGATACCTCCCTATGATTTCAACTATGTACAAAATGAACAACTGATGAAAAATTTGTTGAACTCCCGCAATGCTAATACAATATCATCTCTGTCAATATTCCTGAAGAAGATTTTTGAAATTAGACGTTAATATTATATGTAAACTTATTATTACCTACATGTGACTGTACAATGTTGATTCAAAAAAACACTTCTGTACTATAGGTCATATGGCCTAAAATATTGAATAAACTTCTGTCTGTCTGTGTCATTAATATGCTTCCATATACGCGTGTATGTATAGTAGCTGGACTGAGCTGGGTGTTGTGGCAGACATGACGCCTACGTACTTACACTGACAGTGGTTGCCGTAGTTGTTGCTCGAACACTCGCAGTAGTAGCCGCCGGTGTAGCTGTTGCAGGAACCCGAGTTCTGGCAGGGGTTGCTCAAACACATATTCTGATTCCCATCTGAAGCGGAGATGAGGTTCGCAAACAATAAACACCAGGTTCCGTAGCTCACCTAACGGTTGTTTGTTTTCTTTATATTATTATAGAATTTGACAAATACCGTGTATATGAACACTTACATTTAATACATTTTTAACAAAAACGATTGACATGATCAAATTTAACTATGAGGACTATGAGACACTGCTTTTAATGTGGCGCAAATTTATATTATGTGAAGTTCAGGAGGTAGATACACACCCATCACAACGGTCCAGTATGTAAAATTACAGACTCCCACTTTGTACATAGGGTTAATTTAGTGACCAAAGGAATTTCCAATATGACAGCCATTGGACTTTTAATGAGCAGGTATTTGAAAATGCTGTTGTTGGGATTATCAACGTTATTTTTCAACACGATTCATACTATTCTGTACTGGCACATTTAACATGGGATTCGACATTAAAAGGCTATAAATGGGGTTTAATAACCGACTGATTAAATTGTTAAATATCATGGACAAGTAATTGACAAAAAGATATGGCTTGATCATTGGATTAAAACTACTGTTTGTGTAGAGTATGGCGATTGATATTGAAAGCGCATACGTTCGCAGTTGGGGCCGTAGTAATTGATGTTGCAGGTGCAGGTGTAGTTGCTGCCCTGGTTGCTGCAGCTGCCGTTGTTCACGCAGGGGTTGGAGTCACAAGGTTGAACGTCGAGAACTGGTGGGGAGAAAATCATTCAGTAGACTGCATGTTTGTACTGTAACATGTATTCCTGCAGCTGGTATACACATACGTACAAGAGTCAGGGAAGGGGTATATTAGATGTTTAGTACAAATATTATGACCGCCATACAGCTGGATTATTGCTGGGTGCGGTGACAAAAGGACATTTGAATGTTATGCTAGCAGCGTCATACCCTCGATAATCCAGACTGAGTGTATTATATTTTGAAAAATACTCCCCATGCAACTATAAACTTCGTTTCGGAAGTGACGTCAACACCTCTCTTATTATTTATTCTCCCAATAATCTACATCCATGTTCAGATGAAAAACCTGACACAAGACTCCTTTTGCACATGCACATCTTCCCGAGGCAAGGGAGTAAATTTACTGTAAAAGTCCATTTTCCACCCTTGCCGAACATGGCTGGAATTTCGAGGCCCGATCGGAGCGCCACCGGTGGCGATTACGAGTGATGTCCCTTCTACATCCCCCCTCTTCACCAATCAGATTCCACCTTTCATATCACTTGCATTTGCTCCAAACAAAATGGCGGCGCCCAACCGATCTTTGTTGTTATAAATTGGGTCTTACCTCGGGAAGCACATCAAATCAATTAAGCACCTTGATAAAAATATGGAAAGATTTGGAAAACATCTGTCGACGCCCAGTTGGCGGATGACATGCTTTGCAAATCCTGCCATCGATCGTAATCTGCACGGCAGTCGCAATGTTGTTTATGAACCGGATGTCAATTTTGTAACGCGACTTTGATTGGACTATGCATAGAGTCGTTAGTCCAGCCAAAGTATAATTCCAGCCTTGTTGGGCAAGGATGGAAACTTGACTTTATAGTCAGTTAACTCCCTTGCCTAGGGAAGATGTGGTGTAATTTGATTCGACGGCAAATTTTAGAGTTGCATATTTTGAATCTGCCTCAAAACGCAGCAAACGATGGCAAAATGGGTGCAGAGCATATATCCTAATAATGCAGTTATAATTCCCTATATTACCGAGGATGGGTGCAGCTACTGTACTTACGATCACACGTTGTGCCGATATAACCTACGGGGCAATTGCAAGTGTAGTCGTTCCTGCCGACAGCGGTGCATTTGGCGCCGTTGTTGCATGGCTGTTGGCTACAGCCGTCTGAAAAGACGTCATGACTATGTACTGTCATTGTTGATCTCCTTCTTCTTCTTCTTCTTGTTGTTGTTGTTGTTGTTGTTGTTGTTGTTGTTGTTACAATTATTATTATTATTATTATTATTTATTTATTTATTTTTATTTATTTTTTATTAGTATTAGTATTATCGTCACCATTATGACAATGAATGGATTAGTAATTATCGCTCACCAGGTAGTTTTTCCAAGCTGTACGAGAGTTCGAATCCATTATCGTTGACCATGTAGTCCGAGTAGAACTTGAGTGTAACCGACCCTTGCTGTTCATCCGCTGAAATATACAGAACCACGGAGTGTAGTTTCAATAACATGGGCGACCTTCCTTTCTAGACATCGGTAAGTTGGTGAGTGAGTTAGGTTGCAGTATCTCAGTTGCACCTCAGCCTGTACACCTTCAGGGGGAGAAAGGCCTGAAGTGATACAGCCCATAGACGTTTACCACTCTTCGGCGGATCCTCGAACGACAAAGGGTCATAACTCTGCACAGGGCATGTGGTGCTCAGACCACCCGTGTCCACTCGAGAGAGTGACAGTATTTTAACAGCCTACGAAGTATGAAATGCGAGCGAGTGAGAGTTTAATGCACTAAAACAGTATTCTACCATGAATTTGAAAAAATCTATTCTGATTGGTCAATCATCGGTTTCAAATCATAATAACCACCTCTGGTTCAAACAGCTGATGTGACGACCGCATCACCTCAGAAGTTAATATTTATGGAAAAGAACTTCTTTCAAATTCAATTAAGAATGGTTACTTTTACAGGTAACTAGTTCACATTGATAACACAGCATGTTTGTCTCCACGGCATTTCAATGATTAGCCGTGAGCGATTGAATGACCTCAACAAGCCAACAACAAGTCCCAAAAGTCCGAAAACATCGACCCGAGAATCTACTCCAACCCAGAACAAGGACTGTCTGTGTGAGACTGAATGTTGTTTAACGAATCACTCAACAATATCCCAGCAATATCAAGGCGAAACCAGTGGCAGAAAGCATGATGAACGTTCCAGGCCGTCGGGACACGATGCCGTTCAATCAACAAGTCGGGCCTGACCACCCGATCCACTGAGTCGTCTCTGAAGACAAAAGTGGGTGCTGGGGATATATTCTGACCCGAAATCCCCCGATATGTGTGTTTATGAGTCAGAGTCTTCTTACCTGTGTATTGCTTGTTGGAGTAACTGCCACACACCTTGCCAATCCCCCCGAAGTTAAAGAGCAGATAGTCCCAACTGCAGGAGCTCTGGTACTCTATCTTGAGAGACTTCACGTTGATACTGACCTGGAGATCATTTAAGAACAATCAAGTCGCATCAGCAGCCAACCCATGACGATGTCCGATGGTTTGTTTGTTTGTTTGTTTGTTTGCTGTTTAACGCCGCACTCAGCAATATTCCAGCTATATAACGGCGGTATGTAAATAATCGCGTCTTGACCAGACAATCCAGTGACTGAGCATCGATCCACGCAATTGGGATACGATGACATGCATCAGCCAAGTCAGCGAGTCTGACCACCCGATCCCGTTAGTCGCCTCTTACGACAAGCAAAGTTGCCTTTTACGGCAAGCACGGGTTGCTGAAGACCTATTCTATCCCGGATCTTCACGGGTCCATGTGTGTACGAAGGTGGATTGATAAATTCACAAAGAAGAACTGGATGATCGTGACATTGTTTGTTGTGGACATTACACGAGTCATGGAGGTGTATCCACAAAAACTGTACGTTCCTCGTTTGTCGATTTTCCAAAGGTCACAGACCCCTGCTTAGTTTACTGAGTTGTCACAGCGAAACGATTGACGCAAGTATTGATGGACATACTGCCATGACATTATTACATCACGACAAAAGATTTCACTATGACGCAATTCCTTCTTTGAGAGGCTGAGAACTTATCAATGAATCCTCGTAACTGACATCAACATTACGTTGGTCACTAAAATAGCATATATTTTAGAGATCAGACAAGGTAGACAAAAACAACTCTTTAAACAACAATTTACTTTTAAAAGCTTCAGGGAATGTCTCCTCTAACTTTTACTTTCTCAATTTCATCTTTGAGAAAAATATGTTTCAACTGAAAAAAGATTTACACAAACTTTTACCACCCAAAAAGACAGATTGGCGCATAAATGTCCACCTCTTGTTTTGTCAATGCGAAATTTTGGTTTCATGTTTGCGATATCTCAGTTTTCAGTAATTTAGCTTCAAATCACACCGTTTTATGACCTATGAACATTTTCATGAACGAATTATGACACATGCCTTCGAGATTTGTGTTAAGTTGTGCCTGGGACTCAGGATAGAGCAAATGAAATGAACAGTAAGGTGGTGTTCGGGATTCAGCTCATCCTCTGTGACCTACTTTTCCGACTAGCGTGGACTATTAGGGCCTACTCTACTCCTTACCTTGTAGTAGGCCTGGGTGTCGGGGAACTGGATGGTGTAGGTCTGCTCAGTGCTGAGGGGGTACTTCGAGGGGTAGCCGGGGCTCTTGATGGTGCCGGTCAGACCGGTCAGAACCTGATCCTTCAACTTGGACGGAGCTGGAAGAGACGATAGCATTGCGCAACGTGAAACAAATAAGTGTCTAATATCTACAATTGTACGTTAAAATCCTTAGTTGAGGATAGTACCGTGGCCATAACAACTTGCGTCTCTGTATGGTTATCCTGCGCTAGGGTCGGGCGTGCCCAACAAATCGGCATCGACTGTTGACTGAGGGCATCGACTGTTGACAGTCGTCTAAGGCGCCGCGATTCGCTGTGCAGAGTTGCGTCCCTTGGACACGCCAGAAACCTATGATTGTGGGTTCGAATCACGGTTTGCCCCGAATATGTTTCAAGGTTTGTCAGCACCATACCCGTGCTCGTGGGTTTCACCGAAGTGGTAAACGTCGAAGACCTGCATCACTTCGGGCTTTCCTCCCACATTAAGCTGACACGCCGCGATATAACTGGAATACTGTTAAAAGCGGCGTTAAATCCAACTCACTCACTCGCTCACTAATGCCTGACTTCGAGTTGATCAAGTCCATGCGTCCCGCCCGAGGCTCCCAGTCCCATCGTAAGGGCGCACTGAGCGGTGTTTGGGGTTTCAGTACATCGCCAGGTTGCTACCGGAAGTCTCATTAATCGTAACTTGTAACACGCTTTCCTATGAATGAAATTCATATTTTACCTTGACGTCTTTGCCGGAGATGTGCATCCTGTAAAGAAAAGAAACCGTCCTTTACTCCTGCTACTGTTACTGCCGCTGCAACAACTACTGCTTCTGATGTTTCTACTGCTACTACTTCTGCTGCTACAGCTACTACTGCAGCCGCTGATACTACTGCTGCAAATGATACTAATACTACTTATATTACTTGTGGCGCAAAAACTACATGTGTATTACTATTGCTTCTGTTACTACTGCCACTACTGCTCCTACTACTACTTCTGTCGACCCGGGGTAGAAAAGGTCTTCAGCAACACCTGCTTGCCGTAAAAGGCGACGATGCTTGTCATAAGAGGCGACTAACGGAATCGGGTGGTCAGGCTCGCTGACTTGTGGATCGTCACTTCTACATCTGCTACATGTTCTGTTGTTATTTCTGCTGCTGCTGCTGCTGCTGCTACTTCTACTGCAGATGCTACTACCAGTTCTTAGACTACTGTCATTACTACTACCTCAAATACCTTCTCCTACTTCAAATAAATTAATCTGTTCAAGAAAAATTTGGAAGAAATTAAATTGTCCTCAGGGTTTACAAAATAATTAAATCGTTCACTTGACATGCGAGATGTTCAGAAACAAATCTGTGATACCCTAAATATTGGTTCTTATTTAAGAAAAAAGTGTATCTCTAACGCATATGAATTCAATTGTCCCGGGCTTTAGGCTAGTGGTTCGCCGAAGACCCGGGTTCGAATCCACACATTGGTACAATGTGTGAAGCCCATTTCTGGTGTCCTCCGCCGTCAAAGCGGCGTAAAAACATACTCATTCACCCGTGCCAATGAAGGCACATGCGTTGTACAGTTCAGAGTTAATTTACAACAGAAACGGGCGGTCGGGTAGCCTAGTGGTTAAAGCGTTCGCTCGTCACGCCGAAGACCCGGGTTCGATTCCCGACATGGGTACAATATGTGAAGCCCATTTCTGGTGTCCCCCGCCGTGATATTGCTGGAATATTGCTAAAAGCGGCGTAAAACCATACTCACTCACAACAGAAACATACCTGAGCGCTCCGGGCGGCAGCAAGACCTAGGAGACATACAATCAGAACTCCCAGTGAAAACGCCGTCATTTTGAAGGAGGCTGGTGTGATAAGTCTGTGACATACCACTACTTATATACTGATCTCTGTTTGAACAATTGCAGCACTGCCATACAATCTTCACCACGCGCATCATGCACCATCCACGTATCACAAATAAATGTAAACAGTGCTATCGGTTAATTGTTAGTTTAGCTGATACAGAGGACGCTGTGATAGCTCACCTGGACAGGTGATGAAAGTGATATTGCCAAGGCATGCTTAAAGTCCTGTTGGCGATCAACAATAACACCGCGTTAACATGCACTTCGATCGATGACTGTTTAGCACACAATGTGTAGTTTGAACAGCGTCAAAAACATTTCTCAATTCATTGATTGCTTTTTCTGTATGATAATTTAATAGTTAATATGAACAGATAGGGTTTATCTTGTTTCGAATTTGAATGTGGGTAAATTGTCTAGTTTTGTTAGGTTCGTACGAGGTAAAAGGGCGCGTTAAAGCATTCGCTCGTCACGCCGAAGATCCTGGTTTGATTGTTTCATTGGGTACAATGTGTGAAGCCCATTTCTGGTGTCCCCCGCCGTGATATTGCTGGAATAGTGCTAAAAGCGGCGTAAAACCATACTCACTCACTCACTTTTGGGTGGATGTATGAAGGTTTGGTGGGTGGGGTTTGAGTGAACGAGTGAATGAGTGGGGTATTGGTTGGTCGATGGGTGGGTGAGTAAGTTAGTCGTTTTACACCGATTTTATCAGCGGTCAAACCAAGAGACCCAAATAAATCTCTCTCTCTCACTCTCTCTCTCTCTCTCTCTCTCTCTCTCTCTCTCTCTCTCTCTCTTAACCTAGTAGTTTCCTGGCCAAAACAATGCAAATATCAGATCTGTGATTCTATCTCCTCAGATGCGCAGACTATTGTTCTGTTCGGTGCCGTGCGGTTCAAACTACAAGGCTAAGCACAAGTTCTATAAAATTATTTCGTTTTCCAAAATCGCGACTGAGAAGACAACAATGCACGGATAACGAACTGTAATGTTCACGATGATGGTTGGAAGGGCCCGTTGAATGAATTGGGCTTATTCATTCATTTGTGTTGCGCATATTGACTCTTGCTGTGTTGCAGTCGTATTTTGCGAGAGATATGCCTGCTGGTTCTGAAACTGACCGGAAACGGATGGTGTACGATCCTTATATGGAAAAGGGCTAAAGGGACAGCACTCTCATCAAACACTCGACTGGACTGTTTCTGTAAACAAACGCCGTAAAGTTCAAGTAACTCAGGTACGTTTGCTGTATAGTTAACAAACAGATAAAATCTAACCACAGTAGTAATTTAGAAATATGTTTTACCAGGATTTAAGTAATATTGTTCATAGTTTCTCCAGATAATCCTAAATATCCGCGATTGTCTTTCTCATGCTCACCTGGTTATATCAATACTTCGTGAAACCGAAATATTTTGGAAATAACAGATTCCAGCTATGGTTACACTGGAGGGTGTTTTATTATGTGTGTTTGTCTAGTCAACACGAACAAAACAGCCTGGTTGCCAGGGGTTGCTATGACGGGAACTAATCACCTCGCAGTAGAGTTGGCCCCCAACAACCCGCTATTCGTAAGATTTGGTTGGTTTGCTGTTTAACGCCGCACTCAGCTAGCTCTCTCTCTCTCTCTCTCTCTCTCTCTCTCTCTCTCTCTCTATATATATATATATATATATATATATATATATATATATATACACATATATATATATATATATATAATCGAGAGTCTGGACCAGAGAATCCAGTGATTGATATCATGAGCATCGGTTGGGATCGATGACATGCATCAACCAAGTCAGCGAGCCTGACCACCTGATTAGTTAGTCGCCACTTACGACAAGCAAAGTCGCCTCTTATGGCAAGCATGTGTTACTTAAGATATATTCTACCCCGGATCTTCACGGGTCGACTTTGTATTTGAGGTCTGTGTGTTTGCCCAGACATGACCAAGGACATAGCTGAAAGGGTGTGCAATGAAGTATAACTCTAGGATATATTAAGAACAATTGCCATAGCAACGGGATGGTTTATTAGAGTTTGTAAAGATCAATCCCTGATCCGTCACATGTAGAACGCATGATTTTCTCATAAAATTGCTAATTGGTGTCAGAAAAGAATTAATCATTTTTGCAGAAAGCAGAGTATTCCCGACTTTACATCAGAAGACGAAATTAATATTCGGCGTTTTAAAATTATTATGGTGGCTGACAACAAATGTGTTCATCCAATATCCTGAAGTCATTAGTATTGTTAACTTTAACGAGACGAGATTTCTCAAACGAAGACGAACAGATTCCTAACGATATAAATATAACAGACAAATACCATTTCCATAAATCATAAGAACTCTCTGCCAAAAGTGGATTTCATTGTACGATTCCGATAAACCATGAGCATAAGAATCACTGTGAAATACGTCTATGCTTCTACTTCAAATCACCCGTGAAGATCCGGGGTAGAATAGGTCTTCAGCAGTCTTTTCTTGCCGTAAAAGGCGAATATGCTTGTCGTAAAAGGCGACGAACGGGATCGGGTGGTCATGCTCGCTGACTTGGTTGATGCATGTCATCGTATCCCAATTGCGTAGATCGGTGCTCATGATGTCAATCACTGGATTGTCCGGTCCAGACTCGATTATTTAGAGACCGTGGTCATAAATAATATTGCTGAGTGCGGCGTTAAACAACAATCAACATCACATCAACACAGTCGGAAACAGCTGATCATAGAATCATGCACAATGTTAACATATCATTGTACATGCATTGATAAGGTGCCCCTGCTTCTGTGTTCTGTGTAGCCTAGTGGTTAAAGCGTTCGCTCGTCACGCCGAAGACCCGGGTTCGATTCCCGACATGGGTACAATGTGTGAAGCCCATTTCTGATGTCCCCAGCCGTGATATTGCTGGAATATTGCTAAAAGCGGCGTAAAACCATACTCACTCACTTTTCGATCTGCAGTAGCAACGATCAACCTCTTTATTTAAGAATTAGTTATTATGCCAACGAATGGTAATCCAAATGTCTATATGTTGGCACGCAGAGCAACAATAAGAACACTCTAAACAACAGCGTCCTTTGTTAAATCTACGACCTGATCATTCGATCACATGACCGTATACCCGCTGAGTGAGTGAGTTGGGTTTAACGCCGCTTTTAACAATATTCCAGTTTTATCGCGGCGTGACAGCTTAATGTGGGAGGAAAGCCCGAAGTGATGCAGGTCTTAGACGTTTACAACTTCGGTGAAACCTACGCGCACGGGCATGGTGCTGACAAACCTTGAAACATAATCGGGGCGAACCGTGATTCGAACCCACAATCATAGGTTTCTGGCGTGTCCAAGTGAAGCAATTCTGCACAGCGAATCGCGGCGCCTTAGACGACTGGGCCACCCGTGCCCCCGTATACCTGCTGAACAATCAACAGCGTTCGGTTTCCTGGATGTTAAAATTATGGTACGGCTTGTATCCAGCGCTCTGGAAAAAAGAGTGTCCCCATGAAAGAGGTCAATGTTTGTTGACTGTCCCGAAGGAGTGAAACCCATCTAACTCCAGTCTGCTTTGATACTGTGCCAGTGACGGCTTAAAACGACAGGCAAGGTCACCACCAGAATGAAAAGAACATTGTCCAACAGCAAAAGGCAATATGATCTCAAGCATAAAAATGTTGTGAGTCCATGTTGCCTTTAGCTGTTGATGTCACAATTCGCAGTATGGAGTTGCGTCCCTTACGAGTGTCAGGATCCAGTGACCGTTGCTGTCAAGTCAATGCTATATCTATGGGTATTTCCCTGATCGGGAAATTCAACATTTCCTATTACCCTTTTGTATTTTCTCGGGAAAAATATTTTTCGTAATAACTTTGCTAAAAAAAATTTATTTTGTTGCATTTCATATTGTTGTCACAAAACAGAAAAATAGTAATTTCCATGTTACAAAAAATGTGTATGGCATGATGACCAATATTTATAGAATCTGTCTAAATTCCTACTCATAAGTGCTGTACATTTGGAGATGAAGTAATACTGCTTCGGTTCATTCTGGAAGATCTGAAACGATGGAATATGCTTTGTGTCTGTACATGAGAAAATAATAATAATAAGAAGAAGAAGAATTCTAAGATTTAATGGGTCATTACTTCTGAATTTGTATCCAAGCAAAACATGTCGTTTGTTGATATTTCCTTTGATTTGAGTGCTGGTGTTAAGCCTAAGTTCTAGTGCTGTCCAGATCGTTTTTACTTTGCTGCAATCCCAAAGCAATTGTTCAGTCGTTTCTATGTGTGTGTGTGTGTGTGTGTTACAGAGGCTACGTGAGGCCACACTTTGTTCATAACAAAATATATATTGTGTATTCATCGCTTTCGGCCATGGGAGCCGTGCCAATTTACACTTGTCAGGGGGGTACTCAAAGTACGTGATCTAGACTACCAGTTGTCGGACTCTCATTTTTGTGGAAGCCTCGGTGGCTGAGTGGGTTAGATCGCTGACTTTGTGTGCTGGCGATTAGGTGCCTCACCCTGGCAGGTGTGGGTTCGAATCCCGGACGGGACTTAACCAAAAAGGTACTAGAATCTGTACTTTACTAAGAAAGTGTTATCCCAAATATAACATTAGTTACATTTGACCACTTTCTAAATGGCATTGTGTATTCAAAAATATATATTGTGTTAGACAACAACCTGTTCATTCGAACACTGAGATATATTAATGCCACGTTATCTCGGTTTTGAAGAAATAGCTCGTTTAGAATGTATGCGCGCGTGCGTTGTTTGTTTTCGCAATATTATTTTAATTTCAGTGATTTCTGTGATGAAATTAACGTCAAGTCGTTGTTAAAACCTTTATTAAGTTAAAATGATAATTTCGTTGTTCCCACAAGTGACTGGGTGGTTATTACCTGGACAATTGGCACAAGGGGGTGACATTAGGTCAGTGGTACAAGCCATTTATTATTTCGATGTTTCTACGATCGTTGAGTCATTGCCCGAAGCCTATGCTGTAACATTTCATCTGTATCTCCGTCATATAGTACAAATATACAACAGGCATGACCGCGGTCAGATTATGTGATTATACCCAGTTCTCCTTCGATTCTCATACACTGTGACTACATCCGATCCTCAGACACGGTGAATCACATCCGGTCACCAGGCACAGTCACTACATCCGGTCCATAAACCAAGTGGCTACATCCGGTCCTCAGGCACAGCGAATCACATCCGGTCATCAGGCACAGTGACTAGATCCGGTCCATAAACACAGTGACTACATCCGGTCCTCGGACACAGAGAATCACATCCGGAATCAGTCAAAACAGTGACTACATCCGGTCCATAAACACAGTGACTACATCCGGTCCTCAGACACAGAGAATCACATCCGATCATCACGCACAGTGACTACATCCGGTCCATAAACACAGTGACTACATCCGGTCCTTAGACACAGTGAATCGCATACGGTCATCGGGCACAGTAATTACATCCAGTCCTTAGACACAGTGACTATATCCGGTCCTTAGACACAGTAACTACATCCGGTCCTCAGACAGTGGCAAAATCCGGTCCTCGAACACAAGGACTACATCCGGTCCTTAGACACAATGGTTATATCCGGTCTTTAGGCACACTGGTAACTACTGGGGACTACATCGGGTCCTTAGACACAGTGACTACATCCAGTCCTTGAACACATTCACTACATCCGATCCTTAGATACAGTGCCTACATCCGGTCCTTCAACACAATGACTACCTCGGGTCCTTAGACAATGTGACTATATCAGGTCCTCGAACACAGTGATCACATCCGGTCCTTGGACACAATGGTTATATCCGGTCTTTAGGCACACTAGTAACATTTGGTCCCCGAACACAGGGACTACATCGGGTCCTAAGACACAGTGACTACATCCAGTCCTTGAACACAGTTACTACATCCGATTGTTAGATACAGTGACTACATCCGGTCATTTAACACAGTGACTTCATCCGGTCCTTGAACCAATAATGACATCCATCCCTGAGCATAGTGATGACATCAGGTCCTCAACACAACTGTCCTACCAAGACCTTCAGGAGATGGATTCAGGATATGAAGAAAACAATGATAGCATCCTATTGAGGACCTCCAAAATCACGAACACATTGCTGTGACACGCAATACTGACGCTGGAAAAACAATCCCTTTGTGTGCTTGATCCGTGTCCTGAGACTTCAAATTTCAGACTCTCCTGAATATAATAGCTGTTCTGTGATCATCTTAACAGATCATGTTTCCAAAAGTAACAAACATCACATTCGATTTTCGTCCACAGCTGACACGCCCTGACATAACTGAAATGCTGTCCAAAGCGGCGCAAAACAATACCCACTCATGCATGCATGATGACCTGATCATGTCCGCCGAACGTATCTATGACAACCAGATGTGTGTAAAATGCCGATCATCCTTCGCATCGACGTAATCGTCTCCGCCTTTTGTGGGACCTGACAACTGAAATACAATTTCACAGAATGTTTCACTTTCAACAAGTACTGATGATGGATAATATTAAAGTTTACATGTGTATCATTGATCTGACTTCCCTTTTCGCGTGAGGTATAAACGTAACACACAGAGCATCGACATTCTATTTTAGGCCATTGTCTGGATACCGTGTTACTCACATAATGTGTGTTGGTGTGTTGGTGTGTTGGGGAAGCCTAGTGGTTAAAGCATTCGCTCGTCACGCCGAAGACCCGGGTTCGATTCCCGACATGGGTACAATGTGTAAATACAACCCTTTCCATACCAAATAGAAATATCCGCACAGAGCAGATTCGATTGTACAATTCTGATCATATCATGAGCATGTGTTTATGAATCACTGTCATATAGCCCATTTCTGGTGTCACCCGCCTTGATATTGCTGGAGGGGCGGTCGGGTAGCCTTGTGGTTAAAGTGTTTGCTTGTCAGACCGAAGACCCGGGTTCGATTCCCAACATGGGTACAGTGTGTGAAGCCAATGTCTGGTGTCCCCCGCCGTGATATTGCTCGAATATTGCTAAAAGCGGCTTAAAATCAAACTCACTCACTCACTGATATTGCTGGAATATTACTACATGCGGCGGAAAACCCATACTCACTTCCTCACTCAGTCCTTGATTTGCAAATAAAGCGAGCAAGCCCTTTCCTTATCCCTAAGAATACTCCATTGTACAATGACGACTATATCATTAGCATGTGTCTGTGAATCGTTAATAAACAGTGATTTCTAGAAAGAACATGCTCGATTGTACATCAACACCTGTGAAATGTGGGCTCTCCGGGCGGACGCTCTACCACTAGCTATAGACCACGGAGGCGGTCTACCAAAGTCTGGAGCTGCTGAAATATTGTTCGACGTGAAATATTGGAATGTTGAAGTCATCTCTCTTGTCACGCGTTTTATGAGATCGTCGTGGTTGGTTGGTTGGTTGGTTTGTTGTTTAACGCCGCACCCAGCAATATTCCAGCTATATGACGGCGGTCTGTCTTTAATCGAGTCTGTACCAGACAATCCAATGATTGATATCATGAGCATCGATCCACGCAATTGGGATCGATGACATGTATCAACCAAGTCAGCGAGCCTGACCACCCGATCCCGTTAGTCGCCTTTTACGACAAGCATAGTCACCTTTTACGGCAAGCATGGGTTGCTGAAGACATATTCTACCCCGAAATCTTCACGGGTCGATCGGGGGCGGTCGGGTAGCCTAGTGGTTAAAGCGTTCGCTCGACACGCCGAAGACCCGGGTTCAATTCCCGACATTGGTACAATGTGTGCAGCCCATTTCTGGTGTCCCCCGCCGTGATATTGCTGGAATATTGCTAAAAGCGGCGTAAAACCATACTCACTCACTCACTCACGGGTCGATCGTCGTGGTATAACTATTGAATCATGTATGTAATGAATTCATATATACTTGTAAATAAACCGTCGGGTAAAAAAAAGCTTACAATTGATGACTGGATTTGACCAAAAAAATATAAAAAATTCAAAATATTGCTTGGTTGAAAACAGTCGCCGACACACTGCAAACTTAAGGTCCAAAACACAACTAGTATGACGTATCAAAAACTTCAACATCAAATAGCCTTTTCTTGTTTGTTTAGCCACCATCAAACATGGGTGTTACTGTATTTTGCCAAGCAGTTTATGGTAATATTTCAATACTCACTCTTGCATGCGTTGTTCCCTGAAATATTCTCACATTTCCTTGCCCCTGAAACACAAAGTATGTTGGGTTACACCTGCATACCAAAGCTTTACGACGCTTATGGGCGTACACAGGCGGATCCAGAGAGGGAGGTCCGGGGGTCCGAACACCCTCCCCCCACCCCCACCCGCTTTTGAAAACCAAATGAAGTATGTTGTAGACAAACGCTGGATCCGCCCTCAACATACTTGATACTGCTTACATATACATTTGCTTTTGTTACCAACTGTTACGACCGTCTCAATGGTCCAGCGGTAGAGCGTACGCCCGGACAGCAGAAGGTCCGGGGTTCGACCCCCGGCCGCGTCATAACAATAGGCGTTAAAAGATGATACATGTTGTTACCCTGACTGGTGCTTGGCATTAATGGGCTAAAACAAGGACTGGTCGGCTCGGAGTCAGTATACTGTGTCTCAGTGGGTTATTCGTGTTAAACTGCAGCATGGTATCTCAGTGAGCTATCAATTGGCATTAGTCCGGACTAGTACAAGCACACACACACACACACACGCACACACACACACACACACACACACGCACGCAGCACGCACGCACGCACGCACACACAAGAACACACACGCACACACACACACTGTGTCTGAGTGGGGTATTCATGTTAAACTGAGGCATGGTATTTCAGTGAGCTAGCACTTTAAATCGGCATCAGTCTGGACTAGTACAAGCAGCCACACAAACACACACGCGTGCATGCACGTCGCTATATAAGTGCAATAATCTTGGACGCGACGACAAACTCCATTTAACTACCTGTTCACCTAAATTCACTCAGCAACTTACAGTAGAAGCAAAGCAGAAATCCCTGCCTTGATGAGTCCTCTGAGCTGACCAGCAACTGGACCGAGAACGTCTCCGTGTTGTCCAGGACGATGGAGGAGCCCTTGACCAGCATCTGTGTCGTGCTGCTGCTGTTGACAACCACGGCGTCATGCTGGCCGATATCGAGGACGTTGACGGTAATGAGCACCTTATTCGCCCGCGATGTGTTTCGTTTCCTCCTCGCCTTTGGTGAAAGAGTCATGGTGCTTATCCCCCCAGTCCTGTAAACCCAGGGGTAGTTTTCGTGGCTCACGATTATCCCGTAGTCTGACGACTTCCGGGTTCTGTGAGCAAGACCATGTCCGAGGTTGTTGCTCAGGAAGTAAACTCGTTCTGAATCAAACATGAAACAGCAGACCACTGTGAATGATGTGAACAAAACCTTAAAATAGTGTGCGACCAAACGCAACCAAAGAACAGTGCGCCCAAACGCACCAAAGGACTTTTGTGCAAATAAGACAAAGTTGAATTTCCCGTGCAAGAGGGACCGTCAGACACCTAGTGATCGACTGTGGTGGCGAGTTGAGCTGTCGTTGTCAATGCAGTAACAAATGTCAAATGTTTCTGTCAATTACATGACTTTGTGAAACGTTGTGTTAATCAAGAGGAATTAAGTTCACACAGAAAGTGAGCTTCATCCAGAATTTGTGGGTAACACTGTCAAAAGTGTTTTTTCGTATCTGTAATATGCTTTATTTAAGGGGGTGTCACTCCATGTTCCTTGTTCATTTTGGGACAGATATGCTATGGTAGGTGATTAAAAAACAGTATTTATTTTTTTACATATGAATAATATTTATAATAATCTCATCTAAATTGTATTCGGTTTGTGACTACATCAAAGTAAAGATGATCTATAGTTTTACTTTGGAGCGTGGGGTAGCCCAGTAGCAAAAGCGTTCGCCGGGTTTCATTTCCCACATAATTACAATGTTGACACCCATTTTTACCTGTAATATTGCTAAAAGCGGCATAAAACCACACAACAGTGATATTCTATTTCAATATTCATAGGCGGATCCAGAGGGGGTGGGTCTGTCTCCTTTTGAAAACCAAAAGGTATGTATGTTGTAGGCAGCCAAATTATCTGAGAGAGGATTTTGAACTTTTAGACCCATCCCTTTCAAAAATGCGTGATCCGCCCTTGCTATTAATGCTGGATTGCAATCAGTTTTCTGTTCGGTACATGTCCTCGAAAAGAACATGGATAAAAGATCCAACCTACTTTTCCTTATACACTTGTACCTCACAGACAGGTATGACGGGACCTTCATGATGCAGTTTCCGTGGGGTGATTTCAGGATGGGGGACGTGGACCACGTGATGTTGCAGGCTGCCTTCCAGTAGCAGTCGTAGGATGCGGCCAGGACATCGAGCTGATAGCCCGAACACTGGGCCCCACACTTCCCCCTGGTGATGGTGCTGCTGCTGTCAAACCTTCTTCGTCTGATGCTGGTGGTGTCGCCGGTGCTGCTGTTAGTGAAGCACATGACATTGATGCCAAATATGATGTTCTTCCTCGACTTGCATCTCAGCGAGACCTGTTCTCCAGCAGCGTTACTCATGTCAAGACATCTTCTCTGACCTACGTGAAATAAAAAATGTTTTGATGAGTTTGGGGCGGTCGGGTAGCCTAGTGGTTAAATCGATCGCCCGTCACGTCGAAGACCCTGGTTCGATTCACGACATTGGTACAATGGTTTAAGCCCATTTCTGGTGTCCCCCGCCGTGATATTGCTTGAATATTGCTGAAAGCGGCGTAAATTCATACTCACTCACTCACTCACTGATGAGTGGGTGAGCTGGAGTTTTAGTACCTGAGCACTTGTCAGCTTGATGTAGGCGGACATTCTAAAGAGACGCAGTTCGTAGATGATAGTAAACGCTCAGTAATATGTCATTTGGCGAGTAATTTATGCAGAGCTTCCCTTAAGAGATCGATACTCTCTTATACGATCACACCCGTGAAGATTCCGGGGTAGAATAGGTCTTCAGCAACCCATACTTGCCGTAAAAGGCGACTATGCTTGTCGTAAAAGGCGACTAACGGGATCGGGTGGTCAGGCTCGCTGACTTGGTTGATACATGTCATCGATCCCAAATGCGTGGATCGATGCTCATGCTGTCAATCACTGGACTGTCTGGTCCAGACTCGATTATTTACAGACCGCCGTCATATAGCTGGAATATTGCTGAGTGCGGCGTTAAACAACAAACAAACAAACTTATACGATCACCAACGGTACACAGACCTTACAAACAATTGAAAGACCGGAACACTCCTCTGATTTAGCATAGTTATTATGTCTTAGCACCTACAGCATTCAATCCGATGAATGTTTATGCGGCACATTTGCTTATGATGTAATCAAACATTTATCATATTTATGTATTGTAAAAAGACTAAAAAACAACAACAAAAATGTTCTTATTGAGTCTATTATTGATTTACTAGATGTCACAACATTCTCGAGCCTCTGGAACAATGATGACGATACCTTTCTGTCCTTTTTACTTGGCGGCTTGCCAACAGAACTGTACTATGAGTGAGTGAGTATGGTTTTACGCCGCTTTTAGCAATATTCCAGCAATATCACAGCGGGGTACACCAGAAATGGGCTTCACACATTGTACCCATGTCGGGAATCGAACCCGGGTCTTCGACATGACGAGCAAACGCTTTAACCACTAGGCTACCCGACCGCCTCAGAAAGTACTATGACTACTGAATACAATTTATGGACTAATGTAATGTCCCTTGTATGTAAAACTGTTAAAATGTGGAAAAATCTCCTCAGTAGCCTTATATGATAACGATGTGAAACTTCCTGTACATACAATGTGTCCCATATACTTATAGAATAACCGTAATATCTGATATCAATGTACCTTCATTACTTGGAGGAAATAAAGAAGATCTATCCATCAATCCAATGGACAATGTATTCGGGTTCTTCCTATGTGAAAATGGTCCTTATACAACAAATAGGGTAAAATTGTTGTTAAACAACCAGTAGGTAGTGAAGATATGACTTGACCAAGTCCCCTGGCCAATGTATTCGGGTTCTTGCTAGGTAAAAGTGGTCCTTATACAACAAATACATAATGGAAACATGACTTCACCATAAAGACGACAAAGGGCTTCTATGTAGGTACACAAGGTCACCATCTAACTGCCCATTGTCCAATTGCCAGAAACGTAGTGTGTGCACCCATAACGTCAGACAATTCGTCAACGCCACCTTACACGACGACGGTCTACATATACGTCATAAATCACTTCACGTTCCTGCCCCATAGTTACATACTGTGTTTCAAAATATATTGTGTAGATAAGAAATGTATGTAAGTCTCCGCTGCACTGTATGTTCGACAGTGTTCGATTCATTAGAGTGAGTGAGTGAGTGAGTTGGGTTTAACGCCGCTTTTAACATTATTCCAGTTATTTCACGGCGTGTCAGCTTAATGTGGGAGGAAAGCCCGAAGTGATGCAGGTCTCAGACGTTTACCACTTTGGTGAAACCCACGAGCACGGGTATGGTGCTGACAAACCTAGAAACATAATTGGGGCGAAGCGGGATTCGAACCCACAATCATAGGTTTCTGGCGTGCCCAAGGGACGCAACTCTGCACAGCGAATCGCGGCGCCTTAAGACGACTGGGCCACCCGTGCCCCCTCGATTCATTAGAAAAGAGAGGGGATAATGTTACGCATTAAAATATTTTTAATACATGTAGAAAAATTGTGTCACTAAAGACATGTATAGAAATAGTTCTTACCTGGGAGGGGAGTTTTTAGGGATGATCCTATCGTTGTTAAAACACAAGAGATAATATATCCCCATACAATGTTTGAACACACCATCATTCGAATCATGTTCGGTGAAAAGAATGTACGAATGGGACCAGTCATTGTTTTCAAATGGGGGGTTCGGATTTTCGTTATAAGCAACATATTTGTATTACCATGGGTAATTTTCAAAACGGGCTTTTCTATCGCCAGTAATGTTGGAGGGGTCATATTATTTATTTGATAACATGACATAACATAACATAACAATAGAGAGTTCTTTGATAAAAAGAAATAAACGAAATAATGGCCGGTCCCAATCAGCCAGTTTGATACTCGTAATGGAGATGCAACGGAAGTCTGGAGCGCGTATTAGCCCCTGATGTGTACGACATCTGGTGGGGCTGTTCCTGTTAATTTACTTTATTCTGATCACAGCCGATTTGTGTATTTCATATAACGTTCGTGAACAGAATGTATCTGTATTAACTGTGGTAATTAAAGGCACTGGTTGACGTAGCGTTAAAGTTGTCATATAGTCCCCCACCGAACTGCCACTGAACGACGGGTGCCATTAATGCTGTCTGCAATATTTGTGTCATAAACAGAGGTATATATCACATAATATTAAAAGGGTAAAAGTCTAAGTCTTTTTTCGGCGAATGGCATATGGGTATGAGATGGCTAACTTCTTCAAAGAGTACAATGTTTAAAGTCGAAAATATCGAAATTTTATCACTCCATGAGTGAGTGAGTTGTATTTAACGCCGCTTTTAACAGTATTCCAGTTATATATCGGCGTGACAGCTTAATGTGATACAGTAGCAGCGATCATGTGGATGAGCAATATAAATAATTAAAGAGGCTAGTTCATGGGAAGCGCGGCGCCTTAGACGACTGGGTCACCCGTGCGCCTAAAACTCCATGAGAAATGTTTTTAGGCACTATTGCTGGTATCATAAAGGTAGAGGGTTATTTAGAGAATACCGAACGAGCTTCGAGGAACTACGGATTATCTGCCCCGAGTGAACGTATGTCGTTAATCCAAATCTTCTGGCGAGGAACTTACAGCATTCATTCACAGGGGACAGGTATTCCGTAATTCCGAGTTACGAGTATGTTATTCTATATATTACTCACTGACATTTTAAAAGAGAAAACGAAGAAAAAACATATGAAATGTCGACCCTCCTGAGAAACTTCACATGTCAGTTTGATATGGAAGGAAAGCCCGAAGTGAGACAGTTGTTTAGACGTTTACCAATTCGGTGCAACTAACGATAATGTGGATAATGTTGCGAATCTAGGATTCTAATCCTCGATTATACGTTCCCGGAATAGCAAATTGCTACGCCTTAGACTAGATTGGGCGACCCGTATCCCAGGCTAGAGTTAGAGGTAATACATTTTCAATATGGCTGACCATGGCGGCCATGTCTAAAATCGAATTAATCATCTGAGAACAAAGTACACAATTTATTGATAACAACTTCTTTATTTACTTTAAAGGCGACGTTTCGGTGTGGGCTCTTATACCGTTGTCGAGCAAGCCTTGAGGCGCGATGATATAGGCACACCTGAGCCGATCGGAACAGCAGAATGGTGATTCACTCATTCCCTAATTGGAGGTGTGTTCTGCTCGTTAAGGTGGAAGGTAAACTGGTTCCACTTTGGTTCGCGCAGCAAGCAAGGACTTCAATACTCGAAACTTCATAATAATTGTCAAGTAGCCTATAGCCTACATTTGTGAAAGAATTCAGAGAAAAGTCAAGAAGAGCATCGGTATGTGAGTTATCTCCATCCCAGCTGTTATTTATTCACTGTTAGCCGAATCTTATATTGCAAACAAATGTCTCTTTTTGTGGTTGTCCACGGAACTGTTTAATACGTGCATTTATAAAGGACATCGCAAGAACAACAAACAAATGTGTTGGCTTTGCCTTCATGGTGTATATTTTTATAAATTATTTAACTATTAGGCATTCTTGGAGATAATGTTAGAGAGAACATATATATCTTGGATAGTCAGATTGACATATTCACCATTATTTCATACAAAGGGCATACATACGGAGAAAAGTCCGAAGTGATGCCGGTCTCAGACATGTACCACTTTTTGTGAAACCATCCAACATAATCGGGACGATCAGGAGTTACTGGCATGCCTAGGGGACGCAACTCTACACAGCGAATTGCGGCACCTCGGTTGACTGGGCCACCCATGCGGCTGTGACACAAGCGCTCTGCGAGTACAGGCAAAGCTAACCAAGGTATCCAACATGCTAATACATACAAATCAATGGACAATGTCCTCGAGGCCACTAATCAGGTCACGGTTCTTTTATCTTTCACTGTTCACTGTTCACAAGAGATAACTAGGCAACTGGTCCACCCACTGTTATGTTGGACAAGATTTTATAGTAAGTGTTTCATGAAGCACTGTCACCACTTAGCATGCAGTGCAGGCCTCCTGTTCTAGCTACAGGTTTTGTTCGTTTGTTTGATTGTTTAACATTGCACTCAGCAATATTCCAGCTATATGACGGTGGTCCGTAAACAATCGAATCTGGACCAGACAATCCAGTGATTGAAATTATGAGCATCGATCTAAGCAATTGGGATACGATGACATGCATTAACCAAGTCAGCGACCCTGACCACCCGATCCGGTTAGGCGCCTATTGCAACAAGCATAGGCGCCTTTTACTGCAAGCAAGCATGTGTTGCTGCAGACCTATATTCTACCCTGGATATTCACCAGTCAGGCTCCTTACGGCAAGCATGGGTTGCTGAAGACCTATTCTACCCTGGATATTCACCAGTCATGCTCCTTACCGCAAGCATGGGTTGCTGAAGACCTATTCTACCCTGGATATGCACCAGTCAGGCTCCAGGTGATCAGTGTCTGAGAACAACAGGTAGCTAAAGGAAAATCAAGGAATCTCATAGGTTCACATAACAAGAGTGAGTCGGTTCTAACTCCACTTTGAACTGTATTCCAGTACCCATGGGTACTGTGCTGACAAACCTAGAAACATGATCAGGGGGAACTGGGATTCGAACCCACGATCATGGGTCTCTGGCGTACAACTCTAAACAGTGAAATGCCGCACAGAGAAGACTGGCCATTATGTGTCCCTCACATTAAAAGAAACAAAACACAAATTAAACTTCCATAGACATTTATTTCCACAGAAATATATTATATAATGTCAGTTGTAAATGGCTTTCTTGCAACTAACACAAACTGTCAACATTCTGTACAATGTTTATCCTCCCAGCTGCAAACATTAAGCCCACTAAATGCATGTCATGATGCAAATGTTAGATGCTGAAAAGGCATGATAAATGAAAACAATACCTGTGTCAAAATGCATATAAAATCATATTCTCCTAAACACAAAACAAAAACGCTATAAGTTTAGTGGACAGATTATAGGAGCATATCATCCCTATATTCCACACAATAGCATTTCGTTGTAACTGATCCCCGTCTGAGATTCAAGAATCATACCTCAAGTTTTAATGTTAACCCTTTACCGCTTCAAACAAATGGAATGGTTATCTATACTGAATAAAAAAAAGTTAGGGATCATGACTATTTTTGGGACTTTCATTTAAGTGACGACTGAGCACACAATTTTATAAATATATCCCCCAAAATATATATTCATGATCCCTAACTCCTTTTGTTTACTGAATTAAATCAGGGGGATGTCGAGTCCTGATTAGTAAATGTGACTGAGTGGAAGCCAACATGGGAAAACCCTGAAGCAGGCAAATCAGTGGAGGCGAGAGGGAGCACTCATCTATGTGAGTGGGTGAGTGAGTGAGTTGGGTTCAACTGCATTTAACCCTGGCATATCAAGGTGGGGGGAATACCAAGAATGGACTGAACACATGTGACAAATCGACTGATGTGACTTGCGATCGCTTGAGTTGCAAGCCTACCCTAACATCCCACCAGTCCATGAAGTTTACAACAAATCAGCCTTGACCCAGAATTGAAAAAAACATCAGTTCCAGAAAATCTTGAAAAAGATATTTTGTCCAGAGACTCACAGAAAAAATGGTTGACATTAACAGAAAGGTCCAAAATGTGTGTAAAATACCCCAAACATCTGTTTCACACTGAAAATATTAATTAGTAGAGGGAATAATAAGAGTAGGTAATATGAATATGATCATATTATTTCAAATGCAATGGGAAATGTTATCAGTTGTGGTTGGTAAAGGGTTAAAGTTTTTGTATGATACAGTAGCAGAGATCATGTGGATGAGCAACATAAATAATTAAAGAGGCTAGTTCATGGGAAGCTATTCCTGAATAGATATTCCATCTCACCACTGAAGCCCTGCACACAAACACCCTGCAGTACACATTATGTCAGATTGTATGTTAAGATATACTGAAATTTGTACTTCAACAGACATGTGTACATCACATAGCTCCTGCATATATTCCTGCTGTAAACGCAAATGTCTAGGAAATAAATGAAAATATACTGGACTGCTTTTCCACACATTATGACAAATTTCACGAGGCAGAAGAGTGAGTGAGTGAGTTGGGTTTAACGCCGCTTTTAACAATATTCCAGTTATATCGCTGCGTGTCAGCTTAATGTGGGAGGAAAGCCCGAAGTGATGCAGGTCTCAGACATTTACCACTTCGGTGAAACCCACGAGCACGGGTAGGGTGCTGACGAACCTGGAAACATAATCGGGGCGAACCCGGGATTCGAACCCACAATCATAGGTTTCTGGCGTGTCCAAGGGACACAACTCTGCACAGCACATCGCGGTGCCTAAGATGAGTGGGCCACCCGACAGGCTAGACAACCACAACTCGGAGAGAGCAAGACAACTCATCCTCCGTGATCCAGTGTATTACCCTGAACCATGCACCCCCATTGTTTCATTTTGGAAGCGATGTCACCATCTTCATCCCCATCATAGAGTTTCGCTCATGAGAGTAATTTGATTGGATAGCCACTTTTAGTGTCACTCCATATTTAATCATATAGTGGCAAATGGTTCCAGGGTATTAATCCCGAAGGTATAGGGATATAAGTGAGTGAGTGAGTG